TAGATCAAAGCGAAACCCCAAAATAGAAACCTTCCCATTCAAACACTTCCAGCCTGTTATAAGTCAATAGCATACTTACAGTTCATTGTCCAAGTTATATACACATTGTCTAATAACTTAAACAACACCCAAATTCCCACTCCACAAGACACAATCAAATTGCAAAAAACATTCAACCAAATTTAAAAACTACTTATGTTACACTCTATGTGTATACAGTCATACCATTCACAAGTAACCAAGACGAAAAACTTTGGCACAAAGTTAAACAACTCAAAAATTGATAATTAAATACATTTGGCTGATTATATCAAACACATTATATATACTCAAAAAGAGGAGATAGACAAAAGAGATAACAAATACATAGCATTCATCTACAAAGCTTGGGCAGCATCATGCAGCTATAAAACTGCAGCAGGAAAGACAAGAGCTGAACGTTATTTCTAGGAAAAGCAGCTTTGGTCAGTCTTCACACCAAGTGATGGTAGCTCCTCATAAAGAATTTACTGTAGGTGCAAAAGTGCTCCTGTTAACGTATAATATTTAGCCGTCATGATTCAGTATATTAAATAAGTAGAAATAGAACGGAGTCACGAATAAATACATCATTTAATACCTTAACATATTGACACAAGAAGCCAATGCTCTTGATTCTTCTTGTTGGATCGTTTGTTTGCCATTCTGCATTTCAAGCAACCAAAAGATGAAAAGAATACCATTAGTTTTTTGTACTTGTGGGGATTATACTGGATAGGTATTGCTGTTTGTAGTCTCTTGTACTTGCGAGCAGTGAAATGTCACTGTGATTTGGTTGTCTCTAAATTTTCACACATGTACACAAGAAGTTAACAATTTCACTTAGGTTGGTTTGGCATGCACCATTATAAACAGTAAGAAGAATTATATCATCTAAAGCTAAAGAGAAAAAAGGATCAGCAAATGTGCTCAAAAAGTTTGTCTATGTCTGCATATCCAGGCAATATCAAAACAAATCTAGGGCTACCTTCATCATAATTTTTGATGAATAAAATAAACTTGTAAGAATTTCATAAATATTTAATCTCTTCGGGCAAAATGCATAGCTCGAAATTCAGTAAGTAACAGCAACAACATCGATGAAATAAAAGATTAACAAGAGGGAATTTACAATGAAGCTAAAAAGAATGAATAGCAACATGCTCACCATAAAATTCATTCCAAGACGAAGCAGTATTATGAAGTACATCATAAAGTTGGCGGGAACTTGTTATTTTCACTCTTTATCTCAAGGCATTACCAATTGGTAACCCTTATTACTGAACTTGTTTCGGGGTCCAAACTAAGTAAAAGTGGCATAACTTGATATGTTGGTTTAGATAATAAGGCAAAGAATAAGAAAGTACCTTGAGATCATCAGGTAACTTAGAAGCAAGCGCCTCAGCAGAATCAGTAATTGCGTGACTGAGGTTTAAGATGGTGGAGTGCTATAAGTGTTTGCTTTAGTTTATGATGGCTTTGACTACGCCAGGATAGCAGTGCCCAGATATAGTTACAATTCTTTCAGATGTATCAACAAATTTACGTCCATTATCGTCATATAAGTATTGCATCTTGCAACGTACCAGATTCAGCTGCGCATAATAACCAGAGTCAGCAAAAAGCACCTTCTAATTCTCATTAACAGTGAATAATACCTAAATAAAATTGAAGAATACTGAATCTGACAATTCTCAGTTAAGTAACAAGTATAGTTAAACTCGCATGTTAAAATATAAGACTGAATCTGAATGTAACATGTTAACAAATATGAATAATTGCTCGATTACTCTAAGCCTAACCAGATTTACTAAGACTTTCTTACATATAGCAAGACTACCGAAGAACTTGTAGTACTTTTTACTTCATATGTTACTGACTGAAATGAGCTTAAATAAAGTGACATGACGTGATGGCGAAAGAGCTACAAGGAAAATACAGAAGATAAAATCTATACTTAAAAGCTAACAAAGCAAAATAGGCAAGAAAGAAATGATACCAATAGTAAAGAAATAGTTATTCAGGTAATGCGGAAGAAACAACGATCGAGAAGAAAACTGAAAATATCAAAAACACATATCTGACAACCAATTTACCTGGACAGATCTGAAGATACAAAAAACCAAAGGTTATACTGGTTAGGACTCTAGCTGCATGTAGAGCAGCTTGCACCAATGGTAGACCATGGCAACAGTGTTCTGCTTGGAAATGAAGAACCATGATTGGATACGGAACTGAGAGAGATTCGAGAACATGATTAGACATGAATTTTTTTTTTTGGCAATAAGAAGAACTGATACTTACCTAAACTATTCAAGTGTTGGTTTAAGTTTCCATTTTCAACGTATTCGTGGACTAAGCACAAAGATCCTTCAACATAATATCCTATCAAACGTACCTGCAACAGTTTCAACATGTGAAATATTACCTCCTGTTCTCTATGATGTATTAGGTTAAAGAAGCAGAACTAAATCACCAATTATAACTTTCACAAGGAAAATATCACGTTGGCAAGATAAATGGCTCAGATCAGTAAATAGAGTGGAAATATTGAGCAATGTAGAATCTTTGAAAGGAAGTTTATCAATAAAAAAAGAAGGAAACGTGCACCATCTTTTTGAAAGTTACATTAAAAGACTTATCATCTCACCATCTCGTGGTGGCACATCATATCATAGTGACTCTGTAACTATAGTAATCAAAATATTGCAGAAACATAGTATATCACTATGAGGTTTGAATTTACCAAGTTCAACTGATGAACATGGGTCAAAACCTTCAATTTAGCAAGGAACTCTTTTGTTGCTTGCATATTCATCTTCTTGATTGCAGCTTTCTGCATATTAATTGAGACAAAGGTGATTAACAAGCTAGCAGCATGAAACAGAAAACCAAACTATACGAATTTTTTTACATCAAGGGGTTCTTTCAATGAAGTACATGACCTCTAATGTAGATGACAGGATGCAAATATGAAATATATTGTGAATTTTTACAATTGTGGAACTGTTTGTTCTGCATGCTCACTTAAAATTTAAACTGAAAAAGAATAATTTCCTCCGGAGTAAGAAATAAGCATAATCATTGTTGTTGAATCAGACGATTATGTGAATGACGCGATAGTGACATAACAAAGCAGCTCCAACAAAGCTGATGATGAATTTAGGTATCCAAATAAGTAATTGCTAATCATTTCAATCAAAGAAGAATAATAATAAACCTTGCCTCTTAACTCTGCATGGTAAAGAGATGCAAAACCAGCTTGACCAATCTTGTATGTTGTGCTGAAGTTGTCGCTGGCGTCAGCAAGTTCTTCATATGAAAATTCCAACAACTGATCCACTGTGATTCTTCGAGGGGCTCCGGAGAAGCACCCTTACTAAGAGGATCCCCTTTTGAAGAATTCTCTAAATCTGCATGACGTGAGTCAGTTAAAAAAAAAAATCAAAGCCTATATTTAGTTACAAAAGTTATTCCAAGGATGAATTACGAAGTGCTTCCATAGAACAGTTAGTTGGCATACTTTCATCATTAATCATATTGCAGGAAGCTTGTATTTTTAGAAATGGCAACTGGAGTAATATCTTTAACAAATAGTCATCATGAAAATGGTGATTCCTTATGCCTAAAGCAAGAGAAATGAGAAACAAGATACAGTGGAAACTCTCACAGTATAATTTGATGGGTAACTAAAGTATACGTCAAGAGATTGAAAACCATGAAGATTACCATGAACATGTTCATTATGACTATGTTTGTAAGGTGTCAAGTGAACAAACAATTGTTCCTCCCTTTCCTGCATCTATAAAATATAAGGTACATGCAAGCTGCTAAACGGGCTACTACAAGAACTGCTGCAACTGATATGCCAGCTGTTGCTCAACCTGAAATTCCTCTCAGTAATGTAGTTTCTAGTAGATTACAATCACAATCAAAGCTATTTCGATACCTCAGACTTGATAAGGTGAAAAAGATGTCACTGGAGCAGTAAAATGGGGGCAAGCAAGCTGTTGAGCTGTAAAGAGCAAGAAACCATAATTATCTATCAATATTATAGCATTGAAACATAAATCAAAAGGTCATTCGGGTTGGAAAAATGTTGTATAAGTCCTTAATGGTGGATAAGTTCCATTCTGATCTGCAATATACTTTTGAGAAATAGAGATTTCAGAGAAGAATACTACAATATCAGCCAACCTTCAACATGTAACTAACTGTGACTGCTTGTAAATGTAGTATGCAAAAATTGCTCTTCCGTTTAGAATACATAATGAACATAGTTCCCATTTAATGCTTTCGCATCGATTTCTGTGAGAACTCATCCTATTTTGATTAATTGTACTTAAAATATGCAAAGAATATGAGTATAAACACCTTGGTAAAGAGATATAAATATTACAGTCAACATGGTTTACCAAGTTTAACAACGGTAGTACAATAAACAATGCTAAGGAGGGTGTGAATATCTTAGTAAGGCTAAAGCTAAGAAAATCTAATACAAAAGATAGTCAAAGCCACTACATGTACAGGGAAATGCTGCACCAATACCTTCTGTGTATATGTATCCAAAAGATTTCTCTTTCTTTGAACGCAAGGCAGACTACCCAATTTCGAGCCTGCAATTGTCAGTAGAAGTTGGATCTCCAAGTTAAATTAGATAAAATGATACAGAAAGAAACAAGAACAGAACAACAATAAGGAAATAACATCAAAAGAAGAGAGGTGAGCGTGTGCAAAAAAACACTAAGAAAAGAACATCAAATGAGCAACTTAGTCGGGCTAGACATTGTTGCAACTTCAATCTCTCAGGAACTATAATAAGAAATACTTTAACGTATGATAGTCTATTAACGGTTAAAATAAGAAACTTCACTGTAAGAACAAAATAATGTAAGATAATGATGCGCATCTACGACCAAATGTAGGACAGTAAGACAAGAGAAGCAACAAATGACCTATGGAATCACCTTAGGGAAAATACATCACATCATTGCTTTCCGAATGATCTCGTCGTAAACTATGTTCCAAGTAGAATGATCATCATGGGTAGTTGGTGTCGGTGGCCGAATCAACAATTTTACACAGTTCGAGCACTTTGCTCTTGATAAGGCAATGTAAAGCTGACCATGTGAAAATACAGGTTCTCGCAAATAAATTCCAACAAAATCCAGAGTCTGTGCTTTGTTTATAGTCATAGCAAAGCACAATCTTACTGGAAATTGTGTTCTTTTAAATGAAACTGGTACCTTTTCACCCTGTAATGATAACAATGGTATTCTCGGTATGAATATACGCGTATTTTGAAATCACTTGTTGTAATCTTAGCACTTATAACATGAGTTTTAAAATCACAGTAGGTTAATCGTGTGTCATTACATAAACCTTCATATGGGTTTAAATTTTGTAAAAGCATCATCGGGCAGTTTTCTTTCAAAGATAATTTGTAAGGAGGCATGTTGGTTGGATTTAAACTGTGTAATAAGTCTTCAAATTGCGTTTGATTATTAAGTTCAGTAGTCTCATCGATGCCAATAAATGTTCTTACTTTTCCATGAAATTGATCAATAAGCATGTCATTTATTTCATTGGCGAAATCGTTTTTTGTAGTCAAAATTACACGGGAATCTGTACATAATGAATTAGAGTAGAACAAATTCAAATTTGGGTATGTCTCTCTAATTAATTTGTCTAAAGATTCTCGTTCGGTTGTGAAAGGAATGACTAAAGAATTCGGAAATTCAATCTTGTTTGTTGAGTTAACTCGTTCTTGTCCATTTTCAATTCTAATCAAATAATCACAAAATGCAGGATCTGTTTTGGCTCTCATATTCTCTAAGAGTCGTAATTTTTCAAGTTCATTCCATATTCTAGAATAGAGCAAACTTTCATTAATAAAATCTTTCTTGTTTCCGTTTCGGACAACGGGTAGAGTTTGTCTAAAATCACCTCCTAGAACGACAACTTTGCCACCAAATAAGACCTTTGTATTCATGAAATCTTTTAAAAGTAAATCAAAAACTTCTAGCATTCTTTTATTTGTCATAGATACTTCATCCCACACAATTAACTTTGCATCTCGGATTAAACCAGCAAGTGCGCTTTGTTTGGTAATGTTACAAGTGGCATTTTCATCAATATCAATGGAAATTTTAAAGTGCGAATGCGCAATACGCCCACCCGGGAAAATGGAGGCAGCAACATCAGAAGTGGTTGTTGCCAAAGCTATGTATCCCATAGATCGTATGGTTGCTAATAAAGCAAGATATAAAAAGTTTTTCCAGTTCCTCCAAGACCGTCGACGAAAAATGCACCAGCTTTGTTTGAAAATATTCTCTCAGTGATAACATTATATGCTATAAGTTGATTTTTATTTAATCTCGTATGTAAGAAAATGTCTTCCTTACTAACAATGATAGATCTTTCAAATTGAATCTCTTTTGCCTCTTTTGTTGCTGCGGAAGGCTTAATAGCTTCTTGGATGAGTTCATACTCATTTACATCATGACCCATAGAGTGTAAAATATCATTGATATGATTCAAAGCTTGATATCGAATTTCTCGTCTTTCAATAGTTCTCAATACTTTATAGTCATCGGTCATTGAATCTTCAAATTACTCCTATAATCTTTTTGGATTAGCAGGATTACAATGCAGCAATAATGTAGCAAATAAACGTCTTAAAAACTGTATGGCATCTGATAACTTGATAACTTGCTGCTTCAGACATACATTCTATTAAAATATTATCATAGTGTAGCAATCCTCTTCTCTATAGAATCTCTGAAAATACTGCAAGGTTCTCCATTTACTATCAAAAGATCATTATACGATGTTGGTCCTCGGACATGCATTAGTAATAATCTAAGATAATATCGTTCTCCTTCTGTTGAATGACACGTTATGATGCGACCAACAGCATTACGTTGTTTTCGACGTGCCCAAAATTTGTCGCTCGAGGACCACACAGAGTACTCAGGAAATTCTTTGTACAGTAATTTGAGCTCCTTGGCATCTTCAACATGTTCATTCATGTAGAAGAATTCTGTTAACATCGTTTTTTTGATCACTGGATTATTCAGAATTGTATTTATATCCATATTACTCTTAAAAGAAATAAATTGTTGGCCTTCAAGATGTAGTTGAAGACGATAAACACTTGGTGACATTTCACTAATAGGAAAACCAAATAGACGCCATATCGCTTCTGGCGGTGATACCCACCTGGCCGGACTGATATTCTTTACTTCATCTATCTCTATAGTTGTATCATTATTCTGTACACAAAATGCAATTTTGTCATGTCCTTTACAAATATATTTGTAAAGATATTTCACAACTTTGATGTCAGAGCAAACTTCGACATTTATGTGAGTTGAATTTTCCAAGTAAATAGGGATTATATGGAAGAACCTAAGAGTTATCTAAGTATTGTCTTCTCACTTTCACCACTTCTCCTGTGTTTCGTCTTCTATAAATTGGATAAGAATCATTTCCTTTCGATGTTTGATCGGCAAACTTTTTTGAATATTTGAACTTGCAGCAACCTTTTTTGTCCATACAAGAATTTGTTGGGTCTAAACTACCACAAGGACCATGCATCATATGCTTAAGAACAAACTTACGCAAATTTGGTTCTGCATTATCGTCTGGTAATTCTGCTCTAATTATATCATCGTACGCCTCAGCATTCAACAATTTGTGTTCATTACTTAATATAATAAGAAAATGAGCGTGAGGCAAACCTTATTTCTGAAACTCCACAGTGTACATAAAAGCAACAACTTTTCCGAAGACATTTTGTTTTAATATATCTGCCTTCAACTCTTCTATTTTGGCCCTGAATACCAGACTAATCAAATCAGGTCTATTTTGTGCCTGATCAGTTGATGACAAATGTTCTTCTATTTCCATCCAAGATGGGTTACATGTCATAGTAATAAACAGATCAGGTTTTCCAAAATGTTGCACTAACACAATAGCATCCGTATAATATTGACGCATATCTCTAGGGCCTCTTACGAAGGAATTTGGCAGAAATATCTGCTTTCCAACGTTAGAAGCATCTCGTTCACCAAGTCTTAAAATGTCAAGAAGCCCTTGAAGCATACTCATTCTAAACAAATCTTGATTGAATGTCACAAATCCAGTCTTTGAGTTTCCAATTTTATATATTCATCAACTGAATACTATTGAAATAATCTCCCCGTATGTAAAATTTCATCTTCATCATCATTTCTCATTTGGAGCTTGTAACAGTAGCATTCATGTACCGAGACTGTATCTCTTTTGCGTTTCCTTTTTGCATATTTTGAGCTCCATATCAAGGTATCCTTCAACGGAGGTAAATTTTTTTTATATTTGGCAGTTGTTCAAATTCAGACAAAGTATGATTTCTAGGGATATTCTCTGACCCGTGAAACTTTTTAATACCACAGTGCCATCCACCTTCACCATGTGGAAATAACAACGGGTACTGTAAAGGATCATAGCATCCAAAGTAATAATTTACTCTTTGTGTCCTGCGGCTTTGAGTGTAAATTTGAACATGCGGTGCATAAGTAGCAGCACAATCATTTTAATCAACCCATATTGCAGCAATCTCAATAGCAGTAGGCAAATTGTATACTCGTTGATCCAATCCAGTGTCACATTTTAATGCTATATGAAAGTTTTGCAGGTTTGGAATGTCGGTTAAAGATCGAAGAAATATAAGAGTATGGATTATCTTTTAGTATGTCAATCAGTTCCTTCACTATAGATTCGTTTATTTTATTGGAGCAAGCCATTCTATTTTCAACCTCATTTTGATTATCGTAAAAGTATAGTTGCAAAGTTTCTTGGTTTTCTTTCTTCGGGATATAAATCATCTATCAGATGATACATCTGTCCTTGAACTCTAAACGTATAGATACCACGGTTTCTCTTGGCTAAATCTCTATCAAATTGACACCAAGTGAGGTAAACGCAAATAAATTGTTATATGTTCTGATGTACATTTGGAAGTGCTTGCTTTCTGCATTGTTTCCTACATATAAATTTCTCAGTCTATCTGGCATTCGGTGAGAGGTCAATCTCACTATACCATTGTTACAACAAAATCCAAGCGGTACATATTGAAACTTTTTTGCGTAGCAAAATTTACAACATGGAACTTTCTTTAATGGAACATAGTCAGAGCGTAGTTGGCTAATATTAATCGTAGTTTTCTTATTCTTTACACGACCTACATATTGCAAACAATTCTACGGGGCAGAAATAGAAGAAATGTTAAATTGTAAATACTATCACTGAAGGGTGGTGGTCATACTAACCGTTAGTTGCAGTTGTTTCAAAGGTTGGAGCACATGATTTATTTGCGGTACCCGATGTTGAACGTAGTTCAAGACAGCTATTAATTTATGGTTGCACGTAACAAACACAACAATTTAAATAGACACCATATTTTTTTGGGCCTACCTTTTTCGAAAACATGAAAAGGATGAAGCACATCTTTCTCCTTGTCATATGCATCCAATGAAGAAAAACTTCCTCGCACAGTAACTACATGGTAAGAATTAATGGTCATGATACATAGGGATAGCACATCTATAATCATTGTGTATGTATATACTAAAAAAGCAAGAAAAGAAATAACAGATTTGATTTTTTAACCTGTTTCTGAAGTTGGAAAAGCTACTCCAATATTAATATCATGCTGTATGTGAGATATCGTTCCATCAAGATTCACATGGAAGCCGATTAGTTGTTGCCTGTCGATATTTGAGGCGGCGTTGCAACAACTTTTCTTCTTTCTGAGTCATTGCTAAAGAGTTATCTATTTTACGGTGTTTGGTATTTTTATCATGAGCTTCGTTTACCGAGTGAGAATTCTTTTTTGATTGTCGATGATCCATTAATGTGCCTTTTCGCAAGCGTCGGTACTCCAGGCGTCCTGCACGTCAATGTGAGACCTTGTAAATATATTGTTTCATCAAATAACAAGAGAAACTCATGAAGGAACAATTCAGAATATCTGCACAATGAATATCTCTGGAGTAACTCATGCCGCACAACAGTAGAATAAGATATCACAGTACGAAGAAAGAAAAAGCGTAAACTGAGACACCAACATATAAAAAGCCACCAAATTCAGAAAGATGGTCATCTAATCAGCTACTCTAATCAACAGAAAACAATGTATAAAACTCAAATGAACAAAGCACCACAAATGAAAATAGATTAGTCGTTTCTAGCTTTGCAAGCTCCTACTTAGAGGAGACTGAGTAAAAATAAAAATTAATTACTGCTTGTTCCTTTAATTTTGCACAGCTAAATAAAAATTCAACTGTTCACCTTCGTACACTCTTTTAAGAGTTCTATATGTCCCTTTAGTGTTGGACTCCTTCGAATTTTCTGTTTACCAAGGTCAATTCCACGCCGTCCCCGAAAGGAAAAAATAGCAGACCAACTTCTTTACCTAGTTGAAACAATACTAATCCAGTAGAACTTGCCACGGGAAAAGTAACTTCAAAACAGAAAATCTAGGTATGTGCAAATAATAAATTCAATTTCGTTTTCACAACCACCGTAGGAAAAAGAAAAAGTTGACTAAATTCAGAAGTAAACCAGCCAAAACTATGCAAACAGCTCCGAAATCCCAGGTAAAGTCATCTCAGAAAATTTAATTCTAGCGATTGTGAAGTATATACAAAAGAGAGAAACCATCGACCAACTGTTTTACCCCAATTATACAGTTTAATCGAATAGGACCTGTGATGAAATAATAATTTAAAAATAACAGAAGCTGAGAAAATCAAGAAGAGAGAAGAGCGCAAAAGTAAACTAACCGGATAGCTCCACAGACGATGCAACGAAATCTAACAGTGCCAGAGGAGAGGAACGGAGATGAACGAAAGCAGGAGGAATTTGGGGAATTTTCACACAGAGCACAGAGGAACCGCCAGTGAAGATGAGAACTGCGTTAGCTAAAAAACGGTGTTGTAAGCACGTGTCAAAACCTGGAGCAGACGCCTACATGTACCCTGGTTGCAAAATTCCGAAAATACCCCTGTGCGTGCAAGCAACTAACCGGAAGCTCCCAAACTGTCCCTTATTAATACTAGTATTAGTACCCGCACGATGTGAGAATAATATTATGATCCTGTTAAATTCTATAAATTAAAAAAAATAAATTATATGAATAACTATTGACATAAACTTAAATATTATAACCTCATATATAGCCGGTGATACAAG